AAGCTGTACTGTAGAATCAGCCAGGCTGCCATCAAGAAAAAGAAAGCCTGGTTTTTAAAAAGTTTTAAGGCTGTAAATGAAACTTAACACTCATTCCATAAGACCGCAAGATATTTTGCTGGCCCTTTATTACTATCCACAAATATATCCTTCCACTAAAGTGTGGCAAACTGTTTAAAAGGGGAGATTTTGATATTTGAGATACGTCTGGGAATAAGCTGGCTCAAATCCTCTTAGTAGAAGACTGCTCGTTTTCACCCTTCAGCTCAATATAAATGTCCTGAAGTTTCTTTTCAGAATGTTTAACAGTTTACTGAGCATATGCTATGCCGATTGATAATACCCAACCCCAGTACAATAGTTTTGATAAAGAATTTGATTCACTTCTCAGAGATCGTGAGTATAATCTTTGTTTTTATTAAAACTGTGATGTTATAATCTGAATAGATATATTTAATGTAATACATTTTTAAGAAAAGATCAACAATTAAAAAAAAAATTTTTTTTAAAAAATTCTTCTTGAGTACAGACAAAACAAAAAACAGAAACAGAAAAAGAGGTGAATCAAATGTGGAAATCCATACAGCTTTTTAAAGGGGGTAGTTCAAACTACAATCATTCTAATTTTAAGAATGAAACAAAATGTGCAAATATCCCTTGAAACGCTTTAAAGAATTTCCCAGTTATAGATGGGATGTGAGCACCAGAATCCTAGGATCTACAGTCCATAAATTTGGAGAACATAGGTAAAATAGGATTGACATGATTATTTTCTCCAGAACTGTCTGCCATAGTTTTTACATTGTTTTACATTTTACTTGATCTCCTGTGAACCCTAACACTTTTTTTGCAGATGTATTTTAGATGCAATCTGATTTTTTAGGGTTTTTTTTTAGTTTTTTCCCATTATGCTCTCTTAATCTTTCTGTTATATCCTATAAAGTATCTACTATCGCAAGAATGTGCAACTTTCTTGGGTCAAAGGCTACTCGCTAGAGAGCTGCAGATGTTATCACTGAAAGAGATAAGACATTCTGCTCCTGTTTCTACTTCTATTTTTGGGGGGGGGGGAATCAGTCCTCTTGTCCTGTATTTTGGCAGAACAATCCCAGGATGTGAATGAATGCTACTCAGGTGCTGGGGGCTATGTGTGACCTATAGATTGCTCATCCCTGCTCTACTGCATTTCTATCTAACTAACTGCAGAACTACATATTGTGCAATTTACATGTTTATTATTTAAACTTGATTTTTTTTAAAATCAACATTTGTAAACTTTCCGATATTTTTAAATAACTTCCATCCCCATCTTGTAGTATTATATAAAATATGTTACTCCTTGCAGTTTGTATTTCATGACTGATGGATATGAAACTAGCATTAAGAGTATTAATAGATATATGCTTTATTCGTCAATATATGTGCTTTTTCATCATACTTGCAAGTTCAGTTAACCTAGTCACAGGCATACATAAGCCATGTGAGATAACTGAAACCCTTCAGTTCAGATATCCACTCAGCCATGATACCTATTAATTGGCCTAGGATATGCATGATTTCTCAGGTTATCTTACCTCGCAGGATTGCTACTAAGTCAGATTGACAAACTTCAAATTTTTATATAAATCAAACAATCCAGATAAAAGAATATGCATTCTGAAAATACACAAGGATATCCCCACTAATCAAATAATTCTAAAACTGAAGAATCTATTATATCTATGTTCCTAGAGATTGATTTCCATCCAGGCTAAAATTTATCTTTCTCCTTTTACTAGGGATGATACATTCAATGTTTAAATATTAGATATCTATATATAATAATAATTTATTAAACTTGTATGTTGCCCATCTCTCAAAGCAGGATACTTACCTGCTCTAGCCACATCAGTCTGAGCTCTTATTTTGTTGCTGTACACATTTAAAATATATAAAATGTGTATGTGTGTGAGAGAGAACGAGACTGATTGGGGGACTGCTTATATTCTACAGCCAACGTTGTTTCATTATTCTAGTGTTCCTAGGTTTGTATAGGTACATCTTACATCAACTAGTTGGCTGGCCCATCCTTCAAGAGGGATTACTTTGATAATATGAGTCACCTGCTAAAGTGGGAAGGCCATATATTTTTTCTGTTTTCACCCCAGTCTCAACCCACTAGACCTAACAAAGTCTTCTTTCAGTACATCTGTAGAGAACTGTGGTTACAGGACATCAAGCAGCTGACTGTTTCACACTGAAGACTTCTAGGTTGACTGAAAGGCTGATGATGTGCTAGTGACACCAACACAGTGTTTTTTCCTTAAACCAGCAATACCTGTCTTTGGTAATATAAGATTAGGTTCTGTTTCATAGCATCTCTTTGATTCAACAAAGGGGACAAAATCTCTAATTGATTAACTTTACAATTATGGAAAGCCCAATTACAAATTTTGAATTAACTTCATTTGTTAATACTCTTTCCTAGTAGTGCAGTACATTAATAATAATCTTTTCAACATTCTAGTTCACATATTAACACATTTTAATTTACCCAAGTTAAAGATGGGATATAATTTTTCAGTCCCCATACTGCCATGAATATATATTATAAACATTAAATTTTGCATAAATGGCACTATAATGTTTTTTCTATGTTGATTTTCGGCTCCAATTTTCTCACTGTAGACATTTATTGACCTGTAACAGAGCAAACCTTACCTAAAATAAAAGTTAACTTATTAAATTGCAAGTGTTAAGAATTCAAAAGGTACAAATGCAACAGACCTGAAAGGGAAGTAAAATCCAGTGTTCCTACACTTCTAGGAAATTTGCTATTCAAATATATTGCTGCATAAAGGAAAAATGCTTTCTTTAAAACACACAAAAATGGATGAAAGGTCCTTTTTACTATTTTTTAACCCAGCATCAGAAAATATGTATTTACACATATTTCACATTTTGTCCCTTAAAATAATCGGGGGTGGGGGGAGGGGAGAGGCAAGAAAGCAGAGCAACAGTTTTGAGTTATATCTTGTTGCAACAGGGAGTATCATGACACAATGGCATTGTCATTCATGGCTCATTTATATCTATATAACATGTCAATCTGAGTATTTTAAACAACTACTAACCCCTGAACTATTACCAGTTGTTACCTGGATTCCTACAATCCAGTAGAAGTCCAAAACTTGCTGCCTCTACCCTAAAATTTGTATTGACAACATTACAGGCAGCCCTAACATCCAAAGAGGCACAGTACTTAATCGTATGAAACTCTCTACGGTCAAATATTTAAAATTATCAGAATTGTATATTATATATCAAGTATATAAAACTATCCAAAATCTCTATATCATTTACAAAATTAAAGATCTTTTTTACACATTTCCAAATTCAAACAACATTCAACACAAAAAAATCCAGAAAAGAACACTAAAAATACTCCATTCTCCAGTTTCTTCCATTCAATACAGTCATGAACTGCAAGAGATGCAGACAAACAGGGACAGAAACAAATAGGATTCAGATGTCTATATGTGTGTTTTTGTATACATAGCACATATAATTCAAAGATCACAAGAGTATAGTTACTTTGGCAACCAGCTCAACATCTTATATCCCTAATATAGACAGTGAGGATATAAAAGTAGTGATGAGGGCGAGAGGGAAACTGCTGTCATAACAACCTTCCACTGAGAACTACTGAAATAGCAAAAATACTCTGAAAATACTACACAGCCTACTGTGGAATAAAGGAAAACCGAAAACATGCCGATAACCCAGTGAAGAACACAAAGAAAGAGAACAAGAAATAAAAAAAGGAAGGGCGATTTCCCCAATAAAGTTCATTTTGGTTGCCTTTCTGCATTCTCTCAAGGGAGAAGGGGGACACTTACCTATGCCCAAAGTCTCATGACAAAAGCCCTCGCGAACCAGGCGTGCCGTGTGCCCTCTCCTTCTGCACAGATCAGATTCTTTGCTCTGTCCAGAGAAAAGGTCCAGCGCTCGCTGGAGAAGGACTGGCACAACACCAGCAAACTAGCGGGCAACTAGGGATCTCTTTAAAGACTTCATTGTACGGCGAGGAGAAGGAGGAGGGAAAGGAGAGAAGGCTGCAAAGGCTGAAGTAACGGAGGGTGGGGGGCCCTCCAGCCTCCATTCAATTACTCCTTAAAATAATACAGCCCTTCCGAAGTTTAAAAAATGTCCTAAAAACAGCGGGAGTAGAATACGGGTCGGGGGACATCACAGAAAGGACTCACCGGAGGGGCTGACAGAAGGCTCAGAAGCGTTACAGGGGCCGGGGCCACCCTAGGTGACCAACACGCGGGGGAACTTGCGTGGGGAGGAGGTCAGATGGGACACGTGCAAGAGGATAGATGGTTCAAAGAAGGGCAGCACTCCGGAGATTTCTGGAGAGCCGCGTCTTCCAGATCCGAGCTGTTGTTTTTATCTCCATTTCTGGGAAAGCCTACTCCCTTCTTTCTCCCCCTACTCCTGCCTCCAAGAAGTCTCCGCCAGTGCTCTCAGTCTCGGGAAACGGCGAGGCGGCTGTCCAGCCGCGAAGCAGAGCAGGCGCCTCTCCCTCCCTGCGGTAGGAACGGCATTCCCTTCTCCCCTTTTCCAGTTCCCACCGCCGTCGCCAAAGGCACCAATTCCTTCGAACGCCGAGAGGGCGCGAACGGTCTCGCCGAC